AAAAAAAACACAGATGCAGATTTGCTTTAGAAGAAAAAACATTCGCTGCCCAATCCACTCAAAACAAAAACTAGAGACCTGTAAACAAGGACAAAACTTTTTAGGAAACTCTGTATAGCTAATCTGAGGATACAAACTAAAATTAGGTAAAAATAGCCACAGATACTCTATTTTTCAAATATTTTTCCAAAGAAAGCATCAGTCTGCTATTATCCTATACAAACCAAGAAAATTATCTGGAAATTTAAAGAAGATAATTATTTCAAGTTTTTCACTCCCCCTTCTCAAAACTTACAGAATGATATCAGCTAAACTGGCAGATACCACGTGAAGAATACCAATACTGTTGTACTTACCCTGCTGTTTAGAAAAAAAAGACAGAGGTCTGCAAATGGGACTGTACTTATCTATTTGAAGGCCTGTCTGTTCTTTTTTCCCCTCTATTTAACTATAACGTGTATACTGAGTGCAATCAAGCATCCTATTAAACAGTGCTTTGTTTTCTATTCCAAATAAAGGAAAACATAAGAGATTTCAAAAGATAGTGTGTTCTTTAGAAAGTAAAATTTATCAGTTCACCAAAAATTCATGTTGCTCAAAAAAAAAAAAAAAAAATCAGTATCCCTTAATATGAGATATTAGTCGAAAAAGACCAGCAAGGTGGCCAGTTCTCTTTTAAAGTTCTCTCAACAGCTAATACAGCATTTATTTTCATAAAGAAAAAATGCAATCACCCTGTAGCCAAACTGCAAATTTTGTACATTTTTTTGATCCTCTTTTTTTTAAAAATGAAGATTCTTTAGAGGTAGCTAGTTTTTCACAGTGCATGATTTCCAAGACAAAAGAGTTTGGGCATACTCCTATACAGTGGTGACAGAAAACTTTTTTAAACTTCATAGTAGCTTGCACCTTGAACTATCTTGTACTTTAAAGTACTGATTAATGCATATCAAGTGAGAAACAGAACAAAAGCAATTAAGTATCATGCACAATGGGCACTAAGCCAGCTTTGTAGCTTCCCGCACGCTGGTAATCTCTGATGTACAGCAAGGAAAAGGCTGAGATATCTGAGTTCACCTTATCTGGATTTCACAAAGCAGGAAAACATCTTAGCCTCACCAGCAAATGTTGTGGAAGCTAACAATGCTGCAAAGTCAACAGAAAAACTAGCAATCCCAAAGACAGAGGAAGAGGAAAGTTTGAGGGAGTACACAGAAAACTTCTGAGAGCTGAGAAAGAAGAGATAAGAGGAAGTCACGCAGTACAGAGGTTGAATGTGACACATCTCGAAGAGCTACTACCAAAATTGGTTGATGAGTTGCAAACCAACCTCAGAGCCCACCAGAAGAGAAGGAGGAAAAAAGCTCCAGATTGAGGCTGATAGACTGCCAGGGAGGGAGGGTGTTGGCACACAGAGGGGTTACAGGGTGACAGAAGAAAAACACAGATGTCTGCAACGTGAAAGAGCCAACCCCATGGGAGGCTTTTGTGAAGTCAGACTGAGTCAGATAATAAAACAGGAAATGGTCAACAACATGCAAGACCATTTTGTGCGCATCACACCCAAAGGAAAAACAGATTGCAACTAGTTAGGGATATCCTGTGTGAGTAGAGACTTGGAAGAGCCACTTGTTTCATAACCATTTTACTGGTGCACGGGTAAAAGAGACGGTAAAGGGGAAAAGAGATTTGAAGACAGCTGTTTTCTTCTTTTCAAATAGAAAAAAAAAAAAAAAAAAAAAAACATATACAATGATAAAACTTTAGAAGAGAAGGACAGTAGAGATGACAAACGTAGTGATGACCACAGCAGCCATTCAAGTTTGTATTAAGAGAATCAGTGAAAAGACAGAAAGAAGCGAAAGGACAGTAGACAAGCATAAACCAATCCCCAATAAAGAATTCACTGAGACTGGGAAAAAAGGGGAGAGAAAAGTTAGTGCAGTAAGCTTTACAGGTCAGATGCAAATCTGACATTATACAGAGAACTTTGTAGGAAAGGCAAGTATATCCTCCTGTACATGGCAACAAAACAATACTGAGACTGATAAAAAGACTGTTGTTACTGCTTGGGCTGAAAGGAACTATTTGGGCTGCACTGCTACTAACAACTTTTTCACACAACTCTTCAGATAGCGACCACTGCCATACCTTTGACTTTGACCTGGTGCTTGGTACACTCCGGGCAGGGAAGGAGTGTAAACTCCTCTGTCTGATACATTGAATAGTCTGTACTTGCAACCACAATTCGGTCTCCAGGCTGCCAACTGCTAACATCATCCAGAAGATTCAATATCACTCCACCAACAGGTTCTACCTGGAAGCCTGAAATTGGGACACCTAGTTTAAAAAGGAAAAAAAAACAAAAGCAAGAGTTAACACAATGCAAGTATATGGGATTTTACAAGCTCAATACCACCCACTACGTGCCATTATGCTCTGAAACATGCCAACGTGAAATACCATTGCAGCCTGCTTTTTTGGTGGATTTTAAATAAAAAAAAGGGCAGAGATGGAAACAACCAGGAAAACCAGTAAAAAACTATGAAGTAGTAGTAAAATACCACACCATAATATATCGAATACCAACAGCATGTAGGCCCTGCTTGCTCTGCTTCCTTCAAGTGGTGTTCTTCTGCCATTTAACACTGTAGATGTTGGCAAGGGCTTAGCAAGCCAGACTAGGGGAATTTTTTGTTCTAAACACAACTAATAAAACAGTTTTGCAAGCTATACTGTACATGTATGCTATTTCCCTACCTTTAAATTCAGCAGACCTCCTTTTATTTAACATTCTCCTATTTTATTTAATGCATAGGAAGAATGGAATCACAATTTGGCTTACTTATTGAACTCAACATTGAGCTCAACACTACAGCACCAGCAAGTCAAAGATGTACTTCTGTGGATTATTATTTTTAAGTATGAGTCAATATAATTCCATAAGGCTGTAATGATAAGTAGAAGGATAGTATCAAAAAGATTACTAAAAAAAAAAAAAAAAAATAGGTTTCCTAAGAAAAAAAAAATATTTTTTTAAAATTCTTCTAAACAAATGGGATATTGCTAATAATTCAACAAACAGGGAGAGATGACTGCCCATAAAAGTAAAATGCAGAACAAAGATCCCTGAAACACACACACACACACACACCAAAAAAAAAAAAAAAAAAAAAAAAAAAAACAAAATATTGTTTTTTCCATAGTTTATAAAAAAAAAAAAAAAAAAAAAAAAAGTTGTCTAATTGATGAGAGAACCAAAGTCTGGTGAAATAACAACACAGAATTGTAACAGAGGTAAAATGTTTTGGCTCCTACCCAATTTTCTCATAACCAACATCAGTGAAGCTTAAAAATATATGACCAAAAAGAAAAAAAGCAAAAAAAAAAAAAAAAGACTGAAGAAAAAAAATATCTGCTTCAGCGCATTTTAAGAACTTTTATCTGTAACTAATATGTTAGCAATGAAGATAATTAACTCACTGTCATGTCACTTGCATTCTGCACGTAATGATCAAAATTGTGACTAAGATGCTGTCCTCATACTTCACCCAATAATCCGGGCACATAAGCAGCAAAAAGCAAAACTTACAGCAAAGATCAAAATTTAAATCAAAAATTTAAGTTGTAACCAGTACCTCTAGCAAAAACCAAACAAAAAAGCACCATATGCAGTATTTACTTTTTCCCTACCCACAGGTGTAAATGTTTTCCTACCATCATTCCATTCACTGTAAGCTCTCACAACAAACTTCTGACCATCCACTGTGAAAAATTCTTTCTGAGCAAGAGCTTTCCCACCGGTGCTGTGATTTTCATAGTCTCGCACTGATTCATTACAGGAAGAATTCCCACCACCTATAACACCAACTAAAGCCCAGGCTTGCCTGCAAAAAAAATAAAAGCATGTGTTTAAATATAATTGCCCTTAATTCTTCACCAACAGGCACAAGATGAGACAAGGTGCGAAGAAGTTACTTACAATCCTTTGACCTGCATTCCCAATTTCATTTTAAACCACAGTTTCAAAATGAAGAACTAAGACCTCATTGGAAAGGTGCATAGCCCTACATAACTGGATGTCCTATAAGCAAACTGGCAAATATCATAGTTCTTAACTGAGAGAGCTTTCAGACACATTTTTTAGTACAACATACAAAAGAGAACAAGACCTGAGTGCCAGAAGTGATACGGGTTCCTGCTCACAAGCAGGCTTAAGGAAGCATGGGAAGATGTTGAGCCAGTGCTGACTCTCCTGCCACAGCATATTCCCATCACAGGGCTGCAGTCAGCTAGCAGTGTCTACACAGAGGAGACAAGGAGCCCCTGGGGACCAAGACTGCATCAAGACAGACATGGCCAGCAGCTGCTGGTGATCAGTACCCCTGGCATGCAATACATCTTGAAATATCCCAAACACTTGGACTCAAAAAAAAAAAAAAAAAAAAAAAAAAAAAGTACTGTATTCTATTGCACAACCTTTGCAAAAGGGATCATCAGTGTTTCTGAAGGCTGAGGACAAGTTTTTTTTTCTTCCCCCTCAAGAGTCTTTCCCCCAGCTGAACACTTGGCTGAGCACCTGTGGGGAGCAGGGAACTGTCCCAGATATCTCTTCACTTTCTACAGCTCTGCTCAGAGAGTCCAAGTTTACGAAAATGGAAAACCACACATCACAGAAAGCTGCCATCAAGTTCAAATAACAAGAGTATTTGTTGTCCTTGACTGCTCTGTAATGCTGTAATTACTTGCAGAGGAAGTAATCATCTATTAAAAAGTTGAACAAAATTGCATCATTAACATTGAATCATTGACACAAAGTGAAAACAGCAACAGCTAGTTGGACTGCAGCCCAGCACCAATGATTGATTCAAAGGCAGATATTAAAACCTTCAATTCAGTTGCCTTCTATTTCACTCCTTTTGTGTTCTTACTAATCATTATCTTTAGAAGGCCAAATCAAAGCGCTCAGCATTAACGTCTTCACGGAAATAGGATGTACTGGGCCACCTTTTAAATAGCACCGACAAAAATCTGACTGTTTCATATATCAACATTTAAAATAAATACAAAGCTATTTTAAAGCACACTATTTTGCATGGGGAGGCAGAAGTGGAGAACAATGGAATGGATCATTCACCTCCAAACACAGCATCTATGGTTCTGTGAAGCTCAAAACCCTTTCACCAGCTTTACAAGTTTAACTAACTGTCCCCGTTTTCCCTCAGCAAGCACTCAGGTGAGCATCTCACCGATCTCCCACAACACATGGGACATGCTCATGTGCACTCAGAGTCTCTATCAACAAGTGAAAATAGTCAGGAAACAGTCCTGAAGGAAATAATTATTAAAAAAAAAAAAAAAAAAAAAAAAAAGCCAGCTTCCTTTTCCACACTGCAGGTTAAACAGTTCTCTCACTTCACACCAGCATTAAGGCCACCAGTAGAGATGAACACCAGAACTATCAGTTCCAGGTGAGGCAGAGACTGGCTGCCCAGTACCTGACCAACTGCCTGCTCATGCTTCCAGAAAATGGGGGCACCTATGGGATGCTGAGGCATTGGTCCCTCTGGTGAAACTGCCTCAAAGGCACTGCAGGCCATCTCCCCACTGCAGGGCCCCCATGACTACATGCTTACACAGTGGTTGGCATAAACATGCCCCTAGAGGAAACAAGGTCAGAACATGCCATCCTGACTGACGCCCCAGCCCAGCTTTGCCAAAGCAACTCAAATCCAGATGTTAGGGGATAGCAAGAACAGTAGAGAAAATCTAAGGTATTGATTTCCTGCACATACTAAGAAATAAAACCAGCTTATACAAAGCCATTTTAACAGAAACTGAAGGACTGGCTGGCAGTAGATTTGATGTACCATCCACATGTACAGTTAACCCTGCACAACACAAAGCTGGGTCAGAATGCACAAGAGGTCAAGTTTCCTGTTTTCGCAACACTGTGTTTCTTCCAGAGCCCCACTGTTTCAGAATGATCGAAAGACACAGACACACCTGACAACTGTACTTCAATAATAGAATACTTTCTTTACAGATCATTTCCTTGCAGAATCAGCGAAGGGGACAGTGAAGGGGGCAATCTGATATATGGTTAGAGTCCTCTCCTTGTATTCAGCTTTTAGCTTAGCTTTCCATGCTCCCCAAATATAATGTCACATGCATTAAAAGCTTTTTCTAGACAACTGTTTTCTATCTGAGCATCTGAACACAAGAAAGTCCTTTGCTATACCCACCCTTATCTTCCATGAAGAAAAGTGAAAGTGTAATTATGAATAAGCATTGAGATCTATAGAAACTCCTGCGGGCTGCAGTCTTTGCTCTGCGTACTGAATACTGCAACTGTAGTACTACACAAAACCTTCAAAGGATAGTCAGCATTGTAAGAACAGATACTGTCCAAGTTTTATAAGCTCCCTATCCCCCTCCCCCCACAGAAAGCAGAATATGTATCTGATCTTTACTCAACCTAAAAGGGAGAATAAATTAGTTACCTGTAACTCAATCCTCTGACAAACCTACTTCCCAGAAGATTTTGAATAGTCACTCTAGTTTCTTCCAGTAAGTTTTTAGCAGCTGAATCTCCTACAGCAATAGCGATAATGCGACCAGGACTTCTATTCTTCAGTAAGTTCTGGAGTTTCAAGCTTTCTTCTGAAAACTCATGAGTATCAAATTTCAACACTTCCAAAACACTCGCCGTGTCCTGATCAATCACTCTCACATTTAGTCCTCGGGAAAAATTCTTTTTAAATGCATAATGACCACAGGCCAGCCCTGAGAAATTCATAGACTTTGACAGAAGAGTCCATGATAGCTTCTGATGCCCATGCAATTCCAGCGTTCCTTCAGGGCCCACACCAATAAATTTTTTGCCAAATTCTGGCACATCAGCATCTTCATTTGACTTCCCGTACAAAATAATAGTTGCTTTGGATTTATAGCGGCATTTCTCTGCTCCAACATGAAGCATTCCACCATCCTTTATCAGGATAAAACGAGTTCTCAAAGTAATATTTTTAGAACCATCTTTATCATCACCAAAAACAAGTAAACCTAAAGGAAAAAATATATATATATTTCCGTAAGTAAAATCAATTCTGAGATAGACTCAAAGAATTAAGATTTGCAATAGGAGCAACAGAAAAATTAGAAAATTTTCCACACCAATTAAGTAAGTTACTAAGCTTATAAATATGTTTATGAACATTTAGGAAAATAACTTCTTCTGGTTGTGATTCGTCTTTCTAAGCATCTGGCTAGCTTGTCCCTAGTTTTCATACTGTCTTTCTAAAATGGCCAGCATACTGTTTGCCATCAGAACATATTAAGATTCCTTACCTGGAAAGCTACTATGCAAGTCTAATTTTACTATATCATATAGAAAACCATGCCATTATTCCCAGTGACAGACTTGATAGTGTTCATTCAGCTTTTTAACATCTGGTATAACTGGCCTGGCAGAAGGCAGAAAAGTGGAAGCAGAAGAATTGTTCAATATCAATATTCCAATGCATTTTTCATGTAATCATAAAAATACAAGCTATGCAGTGAAATGAAGCATTTTCCTCATTTTGCCTTTACACACCTCCATCCTGTATGGTTATAGAATGTACTGTAGCATCCGAGTTCAGACGAAACAGATCTCCCTTTTTGATGATAACCTTCTTTTCAGGATCCTTCCCAGGGCTCCAGTTTTTCAGACGAGGATTCTGATCAGGACAATTCTCTGCAATATAATATGAAATTCATTATTTTACAAAGTTAGACTCACAAACAGGATGACAGCAATGTTGGAAGCATGACGATGAACGTGATTAAGGCAGTCAGTCACCCACAAAGGACTTCCACCTCCTTCCGTGGTTACAGTACTGCTGCAACAAGTGTTCACATTTAAATTAATGGAGCCAAAAAGGTAACTGAGCAATGGTAAAGCTTCCAGGGGGTGAGAAGGGATTGTACACCAAATTAAATCACTGAGGATCACAGGCAGACTGAACTGTCAATGTATGCTGCACTTTTAACCTATTGCTAGGCATCCTTTGTTTTTGCTTCAAAAATTTCTACATCATCTACTGTAGATGAGGAGAGGTAAGTGGCAAAGTCTTAGATTCATAGCAGTTACTCTGACTCCTAGGCATCATACCTGAAATACTAACATGGTAGGCACAGAACCATCTCACCACCCTCAAAGTTACAAGTGCCTGTGTGAGAAAGGCTGATCCCCTCTTGCTTTTGAGCATCTTGATCATTTCTTTCAGCACAGATTTGCCAGTATGGAACAAAGGGGAGAAAAAAGAAAAGACAACCTTCATATATTTAGTGTAATGCTTTACTACTTACAGCAGTTTCCTGGGAAGTGAGGCATTTGGATCCAAACTCACTGTCCTTTTTAGGAAGTTACTTTAAATACTAGGCTCTGAATCACACTAGAGCTGAGATGTACATAATCCTTCTCAAAATCCTGCTGAAGGTTTAGCACCACACAGGCAGTGGTGCCATATTATAATGCCAGAAAAGGAGAAGTAACATGAAAAAGTGACAAGGTCAAGTGACTTCAGATGCAGCTACAGCAATGTGTACTTAAAACACATCTCTTTACAATATTAAGCAGTCAGAAATGCAGCAGCACAAGAGGTACTATGAAAACAGGAAGTATATTTCTTGAATTTTCAGTTTTCTTACAAAATGACAGACAGCAAATATTTTTGTTGAGAAAAAAACACAACCAAAAATGCCAAAAATAAACAGGTTAGAAACTCAACTGAGAGAAATAGTCTCAGTAGCCTTTTCAAACCTTATCTTCTGGAGAAAAAGCCCCATACATCTGAAATGAAAATCAGGGAAAAAGGCTACTTGCAATAGCCCATTCTTGCAAAATCCAAAAAAAGAGAAACCTACCCACAGATTTAATACAAGCCATCCTTAGTTCTGCTGACAAAGTTGTTTTCGTTTGCTGTTTCTCTCTCCACATTTCAAATCCCTTCCAACCCAGGAAACCCACAGAAACCAAGATTTGACTGCCAGTGGAAAAAAAAAAAAATAAATAAATAGCAGAACTGCATGAGGCCAAAAGGCATCTAAAGTAGTAATATAAAAACAAAAGTGGTTGTTTTTTCTTTCTTTTTTTTTGGGGGGGGGGGAGGGAGAGCCAAATGCTGCCAAAGAAAGCAGCATTTAAAAAGTGAAACTCAACACATGAAGGAAAGCCGAAAAGCAAGAAACACTGCTATCTTGCAAGATGCTGAAAAAATGCAGTTCTGCTGCCTGACTCATGCAGAGTCAGTAAGCTCCTTTCCTCAACACTGCAAAAGTACTGAAAAGAGACAGAGACACGCACTTCCTGGCTGGTAGCAAAGGGCAGTGCAGGGAAACCATGAGTCAGCAACCTGCTAATTTCTGTTTAGCATGATTCATGGAGGGAAAAAGATTTAGTAACTGCAAGTTTTTCTGTTGAGTCTGAAAGATGAGATACAGCACAGCAACTCAATAAAATGAAATCAGAGTCTAACTTATCCTATCTTTGAGCAATGAAGCCATTGGAATTGGAAACGGGCGCTCCTGCAAAATGAGCATGCTTCTGAAGCACGGCAGATCAACTTTTTGGCAAGAGAATCAAATGTGCTCAGCAAAAGCATTCTGAAATTCTCCCTTAGTAATTGCAGTGGGTTGCAGGGAAACATTCAAATATTTAGTACTTCACCATATGTTACCTCCAAAATTACTGATCGGGTTTTATAGACCACAGTCATTGCCTGTACAGTTAAGGTTAAATGGAAGCAGAAGCATAACACAGAAAACGTTAAGTAGCTACAGCCTTGCCAAATTTAACCACTCACACTGAATTTTTTTTTCAAGTCAAGCCTCTACTTAAGTGCATTTTTGTAAAAAGGAGTCGGCTGTCCTTAGGGTTTAGTTGTTTCTAATAGGGTTAACAGGGTGAAAAAGTGATATTTTTATATACAGTAAAGAAAACAGACAAACAAAAAATACCTGGCCCCCCCAGAAGTTCTAGAATCTTTCATGTGTTGGGGAAAGGATATGAAGTTTGGCAGAAGAACAGACAGGAAACAGTTCTCAAAACACAGTTAAATAGTTGCGTTCTACCTGCTTAGCCACCAAGTCTGGAGTTCCTGAGGCCTCTGGGAAAAAATTATCAGTGTTATATTATGCTGAACTGAAGTTTATCACACTTTGGCAGCTAAATTTTCTGAGGATCCTGTCTACCCTGGGCAAGCTCCAGCTGAGAACTGCGAAGGCCAAAAAGAACTTTTTCCCCTAAATCTCCCCTACTTCTCTTCCTGACCCTGTAGCACAAGCCTCTGGAAATGGGGAAGGAAATTGCATTTCCAGCACCTTACATGTGTTAAGGCCTCCTTAGGAAAAAAAAAAAAAAGAAAGAAAAAAGATGATGACAGGAAGATAAAAGCAAGGAGGAAAAAGAAACCAGCTGACAGGCAGGAACAGAAATGCAGACAAGTATCATTTTCCCTGTGGGGAGGGTATGCCGGAGGTTTAGGATTTACACGCAATTACTACTAAGTCTCACATTCCCTACACTGCCTTTCAAACAGCCATTAAAAGCACTAACAATATGGATTTCCAATTAGCCCTCAGCAAGAGCACACCTAGCTGGAACTGGAGCAGTTGGCTTTAATACCACATGTGTGAGGATGGAGCTAAAGACATTAACATTTCAACCCATCAAGAATCTTTTGGCAGAACTGCTGCAGTAACACTGTGACAGAATGAAAATTTTTGTCACTTTTTCTCTGGTGCCTGGATGAAGTTTCTCTTGCATTAGGGCTTCCAACACATTCTACAGATGTGTGGTTTCTCTTTTAAAAGACAACGCAGGGAAAATTCAGAAAGACACAGTGCAACAACTGATGCTGCAAGCTGACCGGATATCCACAGAAAGGCAACAGGACACTGGAGGAAAAAAGTCACATCCTTAGGTTATTTCTCAGCTTCTGTGCATGTCACTACAGCAAAGATAAAAAATGCTCTACTGCAAAATCCCCTGTATCCTCACTGATCCATCAACTCCTTGCTGATCAGAAGTTCAGTGCAGGAATTCTAAACAACCCAATGCCTCAATGAACAACAGCAGAGGAAAACAAACAAAAAGCCCCACTCAGAAAACAATTTGCATTTAAAAAGCAGGCAAACTCATCTCCTGCACATTATCAGTTTCTAAAGCATAGAAGGAATATTAATTCACATAGTCTGCGAAGCACAACCCCACTTTTACTGAAACAACCACAAAACCTACAATCTTAATTAACTATATGGTATAAAGTCCTGGTATCATAGTGGAATGGTTTGTTATGTTTGTTTTGGAGGGAAGGTCTTTTGTTGTTGTTTTTTCCTCCTCCGAAAGCACTACTGTGTCAACACCCTAAATCACTTTTCAGCCTTCTCTTCAACTTGTAAACAGAGCACTTATTGCACATCTGGGCTCATATTACCAGAGACCTAGATCATAATATAGCAGTAATCTTCCATTCACTACTTCCCAAAAACTGACTTTCTTTTACTCCACAGTTATTAGAAAAACTCAATAACTTCACCTGAGAAGAGATCTCTGCAACCAAAAAAAGTGCCCCCGTTAAAATGCATGCATCCATTTCATACTGCCATCTGAAATTCACCATCGATTATTTTGTTTGTTACCTAGTGTTGCATTGACTCTGGAAACATAAACCTCAGAAGTACTACTCCAAAAGCCACTGTGCAGTCAGAGCTTGTGTTACAACAGGTAATGGTTTTCAAATTAATTTTAAAAAAATCATTTTGTTTTTAGAAACCTGTTTTCTTCCTCAGAAAAACAAAAACAAACAACCTGTGCTCAAAAGGACACTATCAGCCTTTAACTGCGTGTCACAGTAGTTAGCAGTATTTGGCAGTAGGGATGTCTAGTTAGTGAGCAATAGTGGATCATACCACCTCTTCATGCTTTACAGCCAGACGATTTGAGAGATGATTTCCAAATTCTGTGAAAGTTGCACTGCGTTCTAAGACAAGCTGAAAGCTCAGGGCTGAGAGGTCAGTGAGCTCCCTGCTCAGTTTAAACAAAGCAAATAAACCATTTGGTATAAATTCACAGACTTTTACATCTTTTATTTGAATGCCTTTCTATTGTTTTCCTTAGTTACTGCTTAAGCAGAAAGCACTTCATTTCAACTATCCTTCGCAAACATCAAAATCCTACGTACAGTAATTATGGTTACACAATGCTCACACTTCTTCCCCTCATCTTTATGCCTTTATTTACTACTTGCCTTTTTTGCTTCAATTAAGCAAGTCATATCAGTCTCAATAGAAATAAGAAGTGCCACTGAAAACAGCAAAAGGAACTGAACTTATCTCTAAATACAGCTTCCTTTCACATTAAAACTACAAAGTGCTCTATTACTACACTCCATTTTTAACAGTAATTCTGATGCAGAATTACTGCACTATGTTCACAGGGGCTTCAACTTCTAGGATGATTTTGTGCGTGTAAGAACTTACCATCTGGTGCATATTTCGAAGCTATTCCCATAAAAATCCCCAGTGCAACAAAAAGTGAAAAGCTAGAAACAGCAAAGCAAATGAGAGTATTTTTATGTCTGTTGGCTTCTGCCTGGCGGCGGTGCTGTCCTGGTGATGAGGATGTGAACATGGCCCGGGCTTCTTGTCTCGCAGAGGTAAATTCAGCTGATACATGGCTGTGTGAAGGCGGTGGGGGACGAAGAGGGGCAATTCTCCCCGGGACATACCCAGAAGACCTGTGACTGCTCCCATTCTGAGGTGGAAGGAAAGCAGGGGAACTCCCCCTGGCATCAATGTCTTGCATGTTATAAAGTCACTGCAACGAGCACACACAGACAGAAAAAAAATAAGAGAGAGGCTTTCAGTATACAGTACATTAAAGAAGAAGAAAAAAAAAAAAGGCAATTTTAAGCCACATGCCTTCTCCTTAATGTGTTTCTTTATACAGTATCAATCACACTATAGCTACTGGTCATTTACCACGCTGTAACAGTTTGAAACAATAGCATGCAAAATATCTTGAATACAATTAAACTTGAAAGGATCTGGTAAGGAAACAAAGCACAGCACAAACCATTTATGTTAGGTATTTTCCAGAGGTTTGTCACAGTTAACTTGCATTGTCCAATTAAGAAACAAGAACAATGAGAAAGCCAGCAATTCCTTTCTTCTCCACAGAATGCCCAAATGTATTTCTTCTCCATGCAGAAGCTGAACAAGCTCCTCATTGTTTTCCTTTATGGAAGGGAAGTTGAAGGAGACAAGCTTTCATTCCACATTGGAAGCAGCAAGAAGCATGTAAATTTAATAGGTAAAATACAAGACAATTTTATTTATTCCTGAGAAGATGCAACCTAGTCAACACTTTTTATTAACTGAGGCAATTTGGAGTCTACAAACTTTGTCCACTCACAGCAGGTTTCGGTTGCCAGTAAAGGTGTGCTGGGATTGATCCTGTAACAAAGTCATTCCACAAAGCTGAGATATCTGGGCTTGGGCATAAAGACTCAAAGCAATGCTATTGCTCCAGGGCTCCCTACCTACCACTGAGAACTGAGCACTTTTATTCCGGTTACTTGTGTTATTTCTATCTTTTCCTGAAGCAGCCAGCAAGAAAAGCCACAAGAAAACATTCCTTCCTGACCTGTTCCAGCCAACAGCTCTAAACTACTGCACTTTTCTGCTTGCTTTAAGGGATCCAAAACTGCATTCAAATACTTTCTTAAGCTTTCTGGTCAAATCTGTTGCACAGCAAGGAGTATTCACAAAGCTAGCATGATTTTTAATTGACATTTCTTAGGGATAGAGGATTTTTTGACAAGGTTGCTGAAGTTTCAGTTCACTGAAACCCAATCTTCGAAACCAAATTCTGAAGAGGATTTAAGTGTAAGCTAGATGTATTAAATCACAAAATGAATTATGAAATTAGGGACCACCAATAACAAAAACCTCCAAATGCATAAAGATCCTCTCTTTCGTTTACAAAGGGAAGTCTGAGTCATGTTCTCAAGTGCCAGGCACACTGGTGAAGGAGGAACACTACAACTGCAATCTTCTTCTGAAATGTAGCAAAGGAGCCTTTTGTCTCATGCTGTAAAATCTGACACGTCACTGTTTCAAGGCGAGAGAGTTGTTATTATTGAACAGGCTGGATTACCCTTTCAGAGAAGACAATGCACCGCCAGATCTATGCAAAATGACAGCAAAGGCACTGAAACATAAACTGGAGCAGCCAGCCCACAGGAAAACTTATGCCAAATCCCCCAGCAGTGTTCTTTGCACCTGTTTGTTGCAGCAAATTGATTTTCACCATTCTCTTCTTAAAGAAGCTGTTTCCCATACCTAATCCCCTGTTCAGACTTCACTGCCCACTGCTTTATGAGCACTGTGTAACAACCTTCTTCCAGCACACACTTTTAAACTCAGCTAGACAACTTTCAACAGTAAAATCTTAACAGCTTCTGTGTTTTAGAAATGCTGCTAAAAACTTAATGCAGAAGGAGCTTTTCAATTTAATTCAAAAACAGTCTTTATGCCTAAAACAAATACTTAAAAAAAATTTTTTTTTTTTTTTTTTTTTAAATGGTTTGGGCCCCAAACTCCTCAAGTGTGGCTAAAAAGCTTTCAGATATGGCATTTACTTGTCTCACTGACAAATTGACTATATGGTGTCATTATAATATGAAACATATGGAGTTATTAAGTCATTTAATTGCTCAGTTGTACTAAACCCAAAATACACAAAGCCTAACTTACTTTCACAGCATAACTTTTTTTTTTTATCAATGAAGGCATCTTTAAATACTGCCACCACTTAAAAGAAAAAAGTCATTCATTACAACAGAGACTGAAAATGCTTGTGTACTATTTCAAGCATATGTTCTTTTTAAAGCACTCAGTCTTGTTTGCAAGGCTCATCCTGCAAACTGTAAAGTTTTATAACTATCCCACTGGAGTGCAAACACCGGTCACCCCAACAACAGGTGGAAAAGAGAGCTCAGAGACACAATCGTCCACACCACAAAACAAAAATTATGAAACAAATGTAACAAAATATTCAGCACGAGATTTACCAGATAGTTTGCCATTACATGAGGTGTAACCATTTCAACACTTCCTTCCCTCTTCCTGTGCCATCTCAAGTTATCTAGCTGAGAGAAAGATCTTCATCCCTCAGAGCAGCTGCTGTCTTCTTAAAATTAAGATGAGCTCGAGGATCTGATTCAAGTTACTGACTTTTTTATATCCACTGTGAAAATTTTCAGATGGCACCACACAAATGTAACTGAAGCAATGAGTTATAAAGCCTGTAATGCCCTAGACAGTGGTGTTATTTAGCTGTACAGAGATAGTATGAGTAAAACGCATGGGAGGAGAAAGAAAAAAAAAAAAAAAAAAACCTTCAAGTTCCCATTTACTGGAGTTTTTTCCTCTTTAACACCTCTTTCTCCACCTTCAAAGGCTTGCCATTCCCCTGTGACCTGTGCCTATGCTGTCCTCTTTTAAAAAACAAAAAAGCAAAAAACTCTAGGTATCAAAGGTCCCAGGATTCTATGTGCAGTCACAGACACTAGAGAGAATTGGCTTACCTCTACGACCTTGCAGCCCCACAGAAGCATAAAACCTCATGAAGGAGCTCTGAGATGTGTGCGTCCCCCCTGATAGCACAGCCATGGGCAAGAAAATCACCACTTTGAGGAACCTACTGCAATTGCACTGTGTCACTGTGATATTTTGCTTTGTAGCTTGCTGCAGCACGATTTCAGTGAAAGTCAAGTTTGTGCACGATACACAGCTGCTCAGCTTACCTACCCAAGTGGTATAGAGCTGTCTGTGTAAACCTGCTGTTGGCCACGCCGTTCAGGCAGGCTGCTGTTTCACCATTCTCAATCTTCTCAGACTTCAACAGAGTATTACACAATATCATCAAATCCATTTTTCACCATCATTGTTCACTCAAGGATACAGACAGGTTTGGGCTTCCCGTTCACTGCACCAGGGAAGCCTGAAATACACTAATGGAGCTAGAGGATGACTGTCATTTTGGCCCGTTACATTCCTGTTACCACCTCTGAGCTGGAACACTGGACATGTTTGCACACCATCCTTCTGACTGTGCACTTCCCCACACAATCCAGATTCTTGCTTCCTTCCCCTCCTGCCACACCACTGAACAGGTATGTATTTCTCGTATTCATCATGCTAGCCAATCCAGTCCATGCCAGCTTAAAAAAAAGTCTATCTTGCACAGAAACTCAGAAGAGCAACTACAGTACAAGTCTGTTTCTACCAACAGAGCACTTGAGCTGCATGGATAACAAACTCTAATGCTCACCAAGCAGGCTGTAGCATCTCCAAGGCCCTCATGTGTTCCTTCACCCGTTTGTCCTTGTGCCATACTGTACACACATACAAGCCTAAGGAAAAAAAAACTAGGAATGTACTTGCAATCACAAGATAACACCGGGTTCTCCTGAGGCATGAGCACATGATCAGAAGCAAGTGGGATGCTTATCTGTTATTCAGAATGGGGCTACTTTCCTGAACAGGAACTGGATTATTCTGTGCTTTTCACATAATCCAACACCACCAAAAAAGTGAAAAACACACCATGACATTTCAACACTTCAGATGTTAAATAAGCAGCATAGCAAAGCATGTCAGATTTGCTGTAAAACTCCCTTGTCACTGCATCTTCTCAAAATTCTGTAAGCAAAGTAAGCTAACTTTCATACAAGGCAAAGATACTAATGTTTCCTTAAAAGGACATCTTAAGGATACATAGTTCATAGGTATGAGGAACAAAACAGAAAGGAAGTTAGAAGAAATTCCACTTCTGTTGTTGCTGGCTATGAAATGCTACCAGTTGCAGTGCTGATTGTTTCCACACTCTTTAATCTCAGAGTATGCAACTGCTGTTAAGTAAAGGACCAAGGAAGGGTGGGCAAAAACCACACACTGAAAGAATAATAGCATTTCCCCCTGTAACACAGTGCCACATTGGTCACTGCTGCTTTTCTGGCAGAGACCTGACTGGTGCGAGATCAAAGGGCAGCCAGGAGCCCAGGAGGGTTCATGAGCTACAATTATTAAACAGAACATGATGTAAATTTCTGCCAAGTACAGCACACACACCTTCACAAATCTTCAAGAGGGCCATTAAATTGCTAAATATAGACAGATTTCAGGACAACGTTTCAAAAACTTCAGAAAGTCCCCACTTCAACATGACTTAAACTTTCCCTTAAGAAAAAAGCCTAGCCCCCAGGAACTGCAAACTCTGTGATCCACATTGTCTTCTGTTGCCTTGTTTCAAAATTAAGCCTATTCACTCTCATAACATGCAGCATATTTATAGGAACCTACTTTTTCACCAAGATGTGCAAAAGCTAGAAAGCATAAGCATACAGTAAAGTACTACCACAGTTCAGCAACTGTGGGAAATCACAACAATTTCTGCAAAAGCTTGAAGAATCACATTTGACTTAAACTGTAAAAGCTCTAGATGACTTCTGTCACATACTGCTTGCTGAATACTACCACCACTGAGTCTACTTCCTTGCCCAGCAATTTCAGAAGAAAATTAGAGGACAAACAGCAACAGTTAATGAGAAACTGAAATATAAATAAGGTAATAATTACAAAATTTTCTCCAAAATAAATAACACTGATTCAGATTTTCTTGATTTCCTATGCAGCAAATACTAATTTTTTTTTTTTTAATTTTTTTTTTGGCACACAGAATGTGCAAAATGCTTTTGGCAGTATGTACATTTGCAAACAAAAGTTTTCAGAGGTGAAGTACAGGCAAAGGTC